TGGGAACATACAACCTCCCAAAATTGAACCAGAAATTGAAACCCCGAACAGACCAATAACAAGTTCCAAAAATTGAGTCAGTAATAAAAAGCCTACTAACCAGAAAAAGTCCTGGACCAGATGGATTCAGAGCCAAATTCTACCAGACATGTAAAGAGGAGCTGGTATCATTCCTACTGAAACTATTCCAAAAAAATTGAGAAAGAGGGACGCCTCCCTAACTCAGTCTATGAGGCCAGCATCATTCCAATACCAGAACCTGGCAGAGACACAACAGAAGAAAAGAACTTCAGACCAATAACCCTGATGAACATATGTGCAAAAATCCTCAACAAAATACTACCAAATGAGATCCAGCAGCACACCAAAAAGCTAATCCATCATGATCAAGTAGGCTTTATCCCTGGAATGCAGAGTTGCTCAACCTACCCAAATCAATAAATGTGATTCATCACATAAAGAGAACTAAAAACAAAAACCACATGTAGATGCAGAAAAGGCTTTTGGTAAAATTCAACATTCATTCATGTTAAAAACCCTCAACAAACTAGGTTTGAAGTTACAGTCCTCAAAATAATAAGAGCCATCTCTGACAAACCCAAAGCCAATATAATATTGAATTGGCAAAAGCTAGAAGCATTCTATTTAGGAACTGGAACAAGACAAGGATGCCCAGTCTCACTACTCCTATTCAACATAGTACTGGAAGTTCTATTCGGAGCAGTCAGGTGAGAGAAATAAAGAAAAGGCATCCAGATAGGAGGGGAGGAAGTCAAATTATCTCTCTTCACAGATAATGATTCTATACCTAGAAAACTCCATGGTCTCTTCCCGAGGGCTTCTAGATCTGAAAAAGAACGTCAGCAGAGTTTCAGGATACAAAATCAGTTTACAAAAATCTGTAGCATTTCTATACACCAGTAACATCTAAACAGAGAACCATGTGAAGAATGCAGTTTCATTCACAGTAGCCTCAAGAAGAATAAAATACCTAGGAATACAGCTAACCAAAGAGGTGAACGATCTCTACAATGAGAATTTTACAAGACACTGCACAAAGAAATCAGATTACACAAACAAATGGAAAAAATATTCCATGCTCCTGGATAGGAAGAATTAATATCGTTAAAACCGCCATACTGGTCAAAGCAATTTACACATTCAGTGTTACTCTTTTCAAACTGCTAATGACATTTTTCACAGACTTAGGAAAAAAACATTCAAAAATTCATATGGAACCAAGAAGGAGCTCAAATAGCCAAAGCAATCCTAAGCAAAAAGAACAAAGCTGGAGGCATCACACTACCTGTCTTCAAATTATAAGGTTACAGTAAGCAAGACAGCATGGCACTGGTACAGAAACGGACACATAGACTAATGGAACAGGTTAGAGAACTCAGAAGTAAAGCCACATACCTAAAACCATCTGATGTTCAACAAAATTGACAATAACAAGCAATGGGGAAAGAACTCCCTATTCAATAAATGGTGCTGGGATAACTGGATAGCCATAGGCAGAAGAATGAAACTGAACCCCTATCTTTCACCATATATAAAAATCAACTCAAAATGGATTAAAGGCTTAAATGTAAAACCTAAAACTATGAAAATACTAGAAGAAAACCTAGCAAGTACCATTTTGAACATCAGCCCTGGCAAAGACTTCATGATGAAGACTTCAAAAGCAACTGCAACAAAACCAAAAATTGCCAAGTAAGCCTTAATTAAACTAAAGAGCTTCTGCACAGAAAATGAAACTGTCAACAGAGTAAACAGCCTACAGAATGAGAGAAAATATCTGCAAACTGTGCATCTGACAAAGATTTAATAACCAGAATCTATAAGGAACTTAGCAAAAAGGAACTCCATTAAAAAATGGGCAAAGGACATGAACACTTTTCAAAAGAAACATAAGAAAAAAAATGCTTAATATCACTAATTAGGGGAATGCAAACCAAAACCACAATGAGATACCATCTCACACCAGTCAGAAAGGCTATTATTAAAAAAGTCAAAAACTAACTGATGCTGGTGAAGTTGTGGAGAAAAGAGAATGCTTATACACTGCAAATAGGAATGTAAATTAGTTCAGCCATTGTGGAAAGCAGTCTGGAAATTCCTCAGATAACTTAAAACTACCGTTTAACCCAGCAATCCCTTTACTATACCCAAAGGAATATAAATAGTTCTACATAAAGACATGCACATATACGTTTACTGTGGCACTATTCACAATGGCAAAGATATGGAATCAACCTACAAGCCCAAGCGTGGTGGCTCACGCCTGTAATCCTAGCACTTTGGGAGACCGAGGTGGGTGGAGTTCGGCGAGGTCAGGAGTTTGAGACCAGCCTGGCCAACATGGTGAAACCTTGTCTCTACTAAAAATACAAAAATTAGCTGGGCATGGTGGCGGGCGCCTATGATCCCAGCTACTCAAGGCAAGATAATCGTTTGAACCTAGGAAGCAGAGGTTGCAGTTAGCCAAAATCATGCCATTGCATTCTAGCCTGGGCGACAGGGTGAGACTCCGTCTCAAAAAAAAAAAAAAAAAAAAAAAAAAAAAGAAAGAAAATGTGTGTATACACCATGGAATAGAATACTACACAACTATAAAGAATGAGATAATGTCCTTTGCAGCAACATGGATGGAGCTGGAGGCCATTATCTTAAGACAATTAATGCAGGAACAGAAAACCAAATACTATACGTTGTCACTTTTAAATGGGAGCTAAACATTGAGTACACATGGACATAAGGGAGCAATAGACACCAGGACCTACCTGAGGGTGGAGGGCGAAAGGAGGGTAAAGACTGAAAAACTACCTTTTGGGTATTACGCTGATGACCTGGGCGACAAAATTATCTGTATACAAAACCCCTATGGCATTGTAGTTTACCTATATAACAAACCTACACATCTACTCCTTGAACCTAAAATAGAAGTTGAATAGTGAAAAAAAATTTAAAAATATATTTTTAATGAGGGAGAAGGGGACTGGGCATGGTGGCTCATACCTATAATCCCAGCACTTCAGAAGATTGAGGCAGGAGGACTGCTTGAGGCCAGGAGTTTGAGACCACCTTAGGGAACATAGACCCCATCCTTACAAAAAATTTTAAACAGCAGGTGTGTTGGCATGTGCCCATAGTCCCAGGTACTCGAGAAGATGAGGAGGGAGGATCACTTGAGCCAGGGGTTTGAGGCTGCAGTGAGCTGTGACCATGCCACTGCAGTCCAGCCTGGATGATAGAGCAGAATCGTATCGAATGAAAAAGAGGGAGAGGAGGCAAAAAATTTCACCTTGAGCTAGCCCTGCCATTAGATGAACCCATTAAAAGCAATTTCCTGTTTGGTAAACTCAAAGTTCACTGATGGATGCTGTCGTCGTTAGATCACTTTAAAAACTGTACAGTGTGGTCCAGCACAGAGCACAGTCTTTCAAATGAAAGAAAGCTGGATTTAAATTCTGACTCTGCCTCCTAGGGTGTAGCCTTAAACCAAGGACATTCCTTCAACTCTTGCTTTGATCATAACTAAAATGAAGGATAATCAGTAGTGTGAGTATACTGAAAAAAAGGAAAGTACTGAGCATGGTGCTGGCACCCAAGAGAGGCTCAATAACTTTCTTTATTTTTATTTCATAGAATTCATGACCTCAAAGAACATATCTATGAGTGATTTCTGATAGGGAAACATGTTGACCTGCCCCAAATACCTAGTGCTTTAAAAAAATAGTCACATGTCTAATAGTCTATACAAATTCTCTCTTGTCAGGTAGAAGTGAGAGCAAGAGTCTTAACAGCAAACAAATACCCTTGTGAACTCCAAAATACTTCAAACTTTTGATTACAAAGATTTTGTCATGGACAGGGGACATAGCTAGGGGTGTTGGAAACCACACCCACTTCCACCTGAGGGAAAGACAGGATAGTAACTGAGTGACCACTAGATATCCTCTCTCAGAGTTGAAGGGTCCTTAAGCCTGAGAGGTCATTATTGTCATCATCTGTGCCCTGTAATGAGGTATTAGCAGGGGTGATGTGTATTTCTTCTGGACTGGGAATTTAACTGCTGGTTTATGTTCTTCCAGAGCTCCCTCTTTGCCCACTAGCAGGGCAATAGCTGGTGCTGAAAACAGTGGCTGCTTGGCAAGCCTGGATCTCCAAGTGACTCCAAGTGACCCCCTCAGCAACTCCTGATGAACAGGTAGCATGAAAAAGAAACCTTGTTGGTTTATACCAGTGAGATATGGGAGTTGTATATCATTGCAGCATAATCTAGGCTATAGATGATGCAATACTGCTACATTAGGGTTTTTGATTTCTAGGTCAGGCCCTATGCCTAGGATAGCTTACTGCTGACACACTCTTCAGCCAGTCTCTCAGCTCTGCACAGCACCAGATATGCCAGGATTTTGGCCTTTGACTCAGAGCTCTTTTCTGGAATTCTCTTCTTCATGACCAGAGAATAACTCTGTCTTGCTTTGCTGATAAGAGATATTAATCTAGAAATGGCTATAGTTATAGTTCATACAGGAAATGTGTAAAAAATTGGGCTAATCTAGAGAAGAGAAAATAAAAGGTGGGGAGTCTTAGTTGCATTCAAATCCCTGGTTCTAGTTGTACCTGAGATGCAGTTACATTCTTACTGTTCCTTTAGTTTGCTGAATAACATAATGAATCCCCATGTTGACAAGGTTAAGTTAGATTTCTATCATTTTTCTAGGAATAACATAGTGTTTTTATTTGCCCAGATGTTATAGCTCACCTAAAAAAAAAACCCTATCTATCCAGGCCTTTTGTTGCCTGTTTTTTTTTGAGACAGAGTCTCACTCTGTTGCCCAGGCTGGAATGCAGTGGTGCGATCTTGGCTCACTGCAACCTCTGCCTCCAGGGTTCAAGCAGTTCTCCTGCCTCATCATCCCTGGTAGCTGGGACTACAGGCATGCACCACCACCCCTAATTTTTGTATTTTTAGTAGAAACGGGGTTTCACCATGTTGGCCAGGCTAGTCTCAAACTCCTGACCTCAGGTGATCCTCCTGCCTCAGCCTCCCAAAGTTCTGGGATTACAGGCATGAGCCACCATGCCTGGCCTATTGCCATTTTCAGTGTTGTGTCCAGTGATGCTTCCTTTACACCTAGAAGTCTTCAGGGGATTTGTATATGGATTGTGAAATCCTCTAGTGACATGGAAGTTTCTGTGTCATGCAGAGAGAGAAATTGTGATGCCTGGATGCCTGAGGTTTTTTGGAGTGAGGTACTATGCATTTGCAAGTAATTGTAAACTGTATAATACAGGATTAAAAGATAAACTATTGTTGCATTTAGAACTGTGTTTAGAATACAATAATTTGTTGTTGTTGTTGTTTTGTAATAGGACTGAAACCAATAATAAGGCAAGTCGACCAAAGGTTCTGTGGTGTAGACAAGACAACAAAAGGACAGACTACCTGTGGAACCTAGCATTGTTCTTCTGCAGCACTACGTAACATTTGTGCTCCGTAAGATCTTTGCAAACCACACACAAGAATTGCTGGTCATCCTGCCAATAGATGCTGCTCACAGAACCAAATTTCCTGTGCTGGATTGTCACTCATGGGCTTGAGAGTAGGAGACTGGAGACCAAGGTGGCTAGAATCCAGTTGGGCCTGACATCTCCCTGTTGAAAGAGCTCCTTGTGGAATGGACAGCACATGGCTCCCGTGGTGGATCTGATAGTGGTACAGCACCAAGTGATGCAGGCCTGCCTGGGCCACGGCCACAGAAGATGCTCCCAGGGTCCCCCGTGTACTCCAGACACACTGCAGGCCACCTCTCCCAGCAGGTTCCTAGTCATGGGCCCCATCATCATGACTTCTGTCCAAAGTGTGCTCAGAAATCTCTTCCTTAACACCTGTGACTTTCTGACAGGTGGAGGATGTGGTCAGGAATGGGAAAAGGATTCAAGACAGGAAGAGGGAGGGGTTCAGGATGAAGAGAGATAATCTGTGCCACAGATGCTGGCCCTGCAGTTACCTCGCACCTAGTCCATGCACACACATTCTAATCCCCTCCCATTCCTCTACATGCTGCGGCCAGAGAGGCCTTTCTCAAAGTGGAAGTCTCATCCTCACTTCTCTGGTTACAGTGCTGGGCCATGAATGACTTACAAGGCTTAGCAGGAACTGTCTGCACACTCCCTGCTCCTGCCTGCTACCTTGTTTCCCTCCAGTCGGGAGAGCAAACATTGATTGAGCATTAACAATGTGCCAGGCTTGTCCTAAGTCCTTCATATGTATTCACTCAAACAATCCTCACAACATTCCTGTCACACCTCCTGTTTCACAGTGAGGGTTCTAAAGCACGCAGTGGGTGAGGAACTTGTCCAGGGTCACACAACTAAGTGGGGGTGGAGAAACATCAAATCTAGGTGGTCCAGGTGGTGGCCAGAACCCATCAGCACCTCACTACAGCTGCCTCCAGCTTCTCCCTCTAGGAAATACTCTTCCCTGTCAACTCCTGTTGTCCTCTGGGCTCAGTTGACATGTCATCTCCTCAAGGAGGACATCCTGAGATGCTCCCCGACTAGGGTGGGCACCCACTTCCACACTCCAAATGCATATCTATTTGACGTGTGTATTGCTGCATCCCCACTGCATGGCAGATAGCAGGCCCCTAATAAGTATGATTTGAGCAAATAAATATAGTTATTCAAAAAATAGGGAGGACTTCTTGTTTCTAGTAATGGTGGGCTAGGACATTTGGACCAACCCTCCTGCAGAAAATAGCCATTTATTTTGATGCAATATACCTGGCTATGACTATAGAGATTTCACATATTTGGAGGGCTATTATGTGAAGATTTATACTTATTCTTGGTGACATAGAGGTTAGAAATTGGTCGTTTCCATAGAGTATGAGAGAGACAGAATTGTGCTCATCATAAGGATCTTTTTTAAAAATTAGACTTAATAAAATGGGCTGCTTTGGTAGGTGGTGAGTTGTCTGTCACGAAAGAGATTCAGCCACTTGCTCTGAGAAAGCTGGAGAATATCAACATTGCAAGGGTCGGCCACCTCATCTCTGAGGCCCCCTCCTCGCTTAGGTTGCCATTGTACGTGGAACACTGGGCTGAGTGTCACAGAACTTGGGTTCCACAAGCTATACGATCATGGCTGGTTATTTTTGGATCTATTCCTAGTATCTGTTAGTTAAGCTGACCCATCAGTACTGACCCACTTCACAGAGTTACGAAGGGATTAAATTTGGTATTACATATAAATTTTTATTTTGTTTGCTTTTTGTTGTTTTTTGTTTTGCTTTTTTCTTTGCATTATGAAATCCCGTCAACTTTTTCCATTCTTTTATTTCTTAAAAAATTGATATCATCATAACAAAATAATTTTTAAAATAAAAATAAAAAAACCCTGCAACCCCACTATCTAATACAATAATCATACTTTTTTCTCTCTATTCTCTTTTATTGTGACCAAGGATGACTTCGGGCATTGATGTGAGGAACTATTTCGTTTAACACCCTGCTATCTGAACATGATTCACACTCAGCCTTTCACCACCCCCCAAGTACTACACATGATATGATAATAGTATTGGTGGTGGTTTTAGAGAGTTGGAGAGAAAACTGAAGTTGGATTTGGGTAAAAGAAAAAAGAGTGGGCATTATGTTTTCTCCATTCTAAAGCCTATAGAGCAATGTTAATTGTTCCCACCCCTCTGCTATTCTGTCTCTTCAGGTACTGTGTGTAGAAATGTGATTGAGATTCAAGTCAGGGCCTCTGCCCTTTTCCCTCCAGAAACAAAACCAAGATAATTTATCCTGAACACACACGGTGAAAAAAGGAAGGAAGGGAGCGGGGAGAAAAAGTCCAGGTCTTACCTGGGATTCTCTGTCTCCTGCAACATGAAGGGTTTAGCCTGGGAGGAGGTGGTGAGAACTCTGGGAGAGAAAAAAGAAGGAAAGAATAGTTTTACCCATGCTGAAGTTAAACCTTTACCTAGAGAAGCAAAACAAACAAACAAACAAACACTGTTCCATTTTGTGCCTCCCTTCCTAGAGTTTTGGCCAAAGGTTTAACTAAGTAATTGGTTTTACCAGGGCACTCACTCCTCTTATCCCGAGTCTGTTTGCCTCCCTCCCCATCATCCTCCTCACCTCTTTCAGGCAGGGTGGGGACAGCAGCAGGAGGAGATTCTGGGAGCTTGGCAACTCCTGTAAGGACCGCAGGACAGCCCCTCTGTGGGGATGCATGGTGCTCCATCTGCCGTCCTTCTGAGAAGAAGAATGTACTGCCTTCACTTTACTGTGTTAAGAGTCCATCCAGACGGTTCTATCCAAAGAATAGTTTCTTTTTTCCCCAACAGGCAATCAGGAAATGATTCCTTTCCCGACTACTTTTGTCTAGTGCCTGGGAATCTTGAGTCAATCCCTCAGTAAGTCAGTGACTAAGGAAATCTCCCCTCTCTGAGCCTCCCAGTTCATGTTGCTTAGGGAACCTGATATTTTCATGAAATCTGCCTACACATGGGCAGCCCAACAGCAGAGCTAATGGTGGTGACCAAAGTGAACAAAGAAGTACAGTTGTGCCAGCTTCCTAGTTGCCCATGTGGACAAGTCAGCAGGATCAGGACACGAGGAAGAGTAAATGTGAGACAGTCATGTGACTTCTGCGATAATATTCTAGATTTTTAAACCCTGAAATTTTGCTAAAATTTTGGTGAAACCCTGAACTTTCTTCATTGCATATACTGGCCCTATCTGTACCATCATACAGCTATCTCACATTAAAGCTATTTTTCTTCAGCACTGATGAGTAAGGTTGGTATGTTTGAGTTCCTCAGATCAACAAAAACCCATTTTCCTGTAAGTCTTATGTTTAGTATTTAAGGAACTAAAACTTAAATACATTGTGTGAAATGCTTGACACTTCACTGATAATGATTTATTGCTTGGATTAATAAATTTTCCAAAAGTTGTCTTATTATGTAGAATATGGTTTGCAACCAGCAGAACCATTAATCTATACTGTGATAAAATGCGCTATGTATAATTGTTTAAAAGCTTCTACTTAATGATGTAACATGCTGTATTTAATTACACATTTGGCTAAACTGTATACTAACATCTGATGGCATTTTTCCAGTGTGTTGCTTTTTTCAAATACTTTATTGTAGAAAGCTGTTCTTAATATTTTTCAAGTTTTTCTCTTTGAATTTTGCTAATGTTTTCCTTGAATTATGAGCACTGACAGAATGTGCTTAGCACTTTTGGCTATTCACACAGCTTTTGAGCATGATTTGCATCCAGTATTGACATTGCTAGCAATAATAAGCCATCTGTGAGTTTTGTCAGAAGTTATTGGGGATTTTTTAAATTTTAGAAATGCAAATTAATTGTTTCCTTGAACTAACTTATGCAGTTGCAAAGGCATTTCCAGTTGTTATGCTTTTTGTACAATATCAGGTGTTCCAGATTATGATTCATTATTAATGTCATTGCTTCCTTGTTCCCTCTGAGATCCAGAAGATTCATGTTTACAATATTCAGAAACAAAAAGGTATCCAAAGCTTGTCACTTTATTATTACTGTTCCTAATATTCTGTTTAAGTTTTTGAATTCATAGATATCAAAACACTGCACAATTATGATTTTCACAGGAATAACAACACACCAATAAGAACAAAAGAAAAGCAAATAGGCTATCTAAATTTTTGACTATTAGGATAATGATAAATTGACAGTTTTTCTAAATCTCACAGTAAAGAATGTGCAGCAACCCAGCAACACTGCTACCTGTGACCTCAGGCTGCAGCGTCAGCTCTTCCCTGGATCTCCAGCCTGCCAGTCTAACCTGAAAATTATGTACTTGCCAGCCCCTACAGTCATGTGAGTGAACTGGCCCAGACTGGTCACCAGGTCAGTTTCTGTGTGACATTAATTCATTCCATGTTCAGCAGTCTTTTTGGAGCCGAGATGTACCTATCATCTGCCTTTTGGGTGCTCAGGGTGGAGAACCAGAAAAGTATAATCTAGTGTGTATCCTCAAAGAGCTAACAATATGGGGTGGTACCCATAGGTCTGGGAACACTTTACTGACTCTGTGAGGCATACCAAGAGACGTCAGAGACCAGTCCCTCCTCAAATGCCAAATGAAATGCAGAGAAATAGTTTGCTGAAGTTCATAGGCCAGATATCCCAGTGGTCAGGGAGTTTCATGAATGAGATGGAACTTTGCATGGAACCTGAGGGATGTGTACCATTTGAGTGGATGAAGAAAATGAAAGACATTCCAAGCAGCTAGAAGTTAGGAAGCAGCAGGGTGTGTGGTGGGATTGAGCACAGTGGATTCAGAGGATAGACTGCAGTTCAATAATTTTTAGTAAATATCTCCCAACTGTTTGGCACTATTGGAACAAGTTCTTGAATGCCAAATGAAGGTATAAATCAGTGAGAGGCATAATAAAAGCTGAGCAGTGCTTGGCTTTTTATGAGCTGATCCTGACAGGAGCAGCTATTCAACAAAATTGCCAGGCCATTGTTACATAGTCCCTGCCTTCTAGGGGCTCACTGCCTACTAGGAGAGAGAGTCTGAAAGTTGGTGCAGCGTGTAACTGTTGGATCAGGAGTTTTGAGCCTGTGAACTGTGGGACCCCAGAGGAGGGTGTGACTACTCTAGGCAGAACAATTCCACAGTTTATATTTAACCTTGAAATTCATTAGAGGATTTTTCAGCAGAGGGTTGGTACTTAAGGTTTGCATTCTGTAGAACCTCAAGGAAAGCTGTACTGTGCATAATGTACCCTCTTATGTTAATGTTGTATACTGTGATCCTGTTTCAGGGATTTGCACTTAGAATCTGTTACAGTGAGCAAAGAAGCAGACCTGTGGGCTCATGGTCTCCACCCCCCGACCCATATATACAAGATGAACAGAGCTGTGGAGGTTAGACAACTTGCCCGAACAACACAGTTCATGGTAAAGCCCAAGACTGTACCTGCCCGTCCAGTGCTTTTTCATTGTATCCTGGAACTAAGCATAGACCACTTCCCAGGCACAGCTGACAGCAAGTAAAGGAGATCATAATCAGGGGACCAGACAACTTTGTCTAAGTGTGAATGTCACCTAAGGAGCAGCTGTGAGAGCAGAAGGGTGGGGTAGAGGAGCAGACACCATGAGGGAGAGTCCTTGGGGGTGCGTCTGCCAGACTGACACTGCCTGGCCTGGGCAATGGAGGGGCTGGCAGGAACCACAGGTACTGGTGGTGTGGCTACTACAGTTACAACTGCCTGTGCTTGGACGTGGACCCTCTGCAATACGCAGTCTCATTCATTGCCCCCTACATTCTACACCAAGTAGAAATGGAAGGCGAATGGGTACTTCACAGAGAGACAAGATCTAAGTGGAGAAGGAATGCATCCTGTGGCTGCGGAGATCCTTGGAGCTTGGAGGGGAAAGCTTGAGCCCCACTGGTGATGACCTCCCACAGCTCCCCAACTCAGCCCTCCCCAAGTCCCCATTGGGGGCCAATTCTCCAGATTGGGGGGACTTCCCCATAGCTCATCCATCATAGGGATGTTGGTATCTACTGTTGGTTGGATAGGGCCGATGTGCTGAGGATGGCTCCCCCACAAGCAAGAGATGTGGATTTGGGGAGCTTCCCATCTTGCGTCCCTTGGGCAGTGCTACCTGCCCCATTTTTTAAAGTGTTTGATGAGATGGAACTGCTTCCAGGAGACCACTGGGCTTTTTTTATGGACTCTTAAAGGTTTCTCACACTTCTGACCTTTCCCACTGGAGATCCGGCAGCTATAAATCTCAGTAACTAACATTTATCTAGAAACACTGACTGGTGGCTTGATAAGAGAAATTTTGAAGAGGTTCTTAACTCTGAAGGAGAATGTGTGCACTGAGCTCCAAGGCCCTTTCCTTGCATCCCTGCTAGGCTTCGGCTGCGTTCCTTCAGGCATGCTGCCTGCCTTGCCCTGGCAGCAGCCAAAGCATCAAGAGTTATGGTGCCTTTGCCTTTGTCATTGGAGTAGATACCATTCAACAGGCCTGTGCCTGGGCCCTTTCTGCTTTCTCTTCCACAGAGACTCCCGGTACACAGATGAACTCTAGGGTTCTGGGCCCTGTGGAAATCACACTGACCTGGTAACATAATGAAGAGGGACCACAGAGCTTGTGGACACCAGGCCTGCAGGAGATGGAACCTTCTAGAAGGGAGTGGCTGTGGTGGTGCCTTCTGGAGAATAGCAAAGATAAACATGCCATGTACAGCACGAGGGGCTCCTCACCCTGAGATGGGGTAAGGAGATGGATGTAGGCAGAGAGCCACTTCTCAGGGAAAGGAGAGGAGGGGCCCTTCTGGAGATTTTCAGCAGAGTTAGGGCTGAGGCTGGGGGGTCAGCACCCCTCACCTGTCCTTCCTTTCTGAGAGCCAACTTCTGAGCCCACCATCCCTATCAGGGGAATATTTCCCAGCCACAAGTAACCACTGACCTGTAGTCACTGGCGTTGTGGTTGCTGGAGCTGTGATCACTGGGGCTGTGGTTACAGGAGCTGTGTTCTGGAGGAACAAGAGTTCAGATGCAGAATGTTACTCTGGGTTTTCTTATTCTCACCTACGGGTGCCTCACCCGAAGGGGTTAAACTTCTGCCCCTTTACCTTCTGGAGCCCCTGTGGAGACTCCTGCTATGCAGCAAAGCCTGGAAGGGGCCCCTGGCTATGGAGGGGAGGTTGAGCAGCCACAGGTTTGGTCGGAAGAAGGAGACCTGGACTCCCAGATCCTCAATACCCAGGGAAAGTCAGTTCCTGTGGCTGCCCCTGACACTAGGACCTGGATCTGAGTTAGCATTTTTTCTGCTCCTCCATGAGCTTTCAGGCACAGGGCTACATGAGGCTCAGGAACTCCCAGAGTCCTGGGGAAATGGGTCTGTTTCTCATGGGACAAAAATTCTCAGGTCCTTCTCTTTCAGATTCCTAAGTTGCTTATAAGAGATTAAGTGGGAATAAGCCAGTGCTTGAAATGGCAAATCTGAAGGGAGTGTGTAATGTGCATGTGTCTCTGTGTGTACATGTAGATGTATAAGGTATACGCATCTGTATGTATGTAGATTTGTATATATGTGTGTGTTTATAAGCATGTATGGGTTTTTGTATATGTATGTGCACATTGATGTATATAAGCATAGCATGTATGGGTGTGTTTGTGTGTATTGCTCTGTGACTTCCTCATACTGGCACCACCCTGGCCTTTTCTTGGTTGCCCCCACCCTGTGGGTTGTAAGGAGCAGAACAGCGCTCCACCTGCAGGCATGGAAGGGGGGGTCAGGATAAGTGTTGGGGAGAGCTGGTCCTCTTCACACTTGGAATAAGGAAACAGGAGCTAAATGGATGGGTCCCTCCCTTTTACAGAATTCTGCATTAATAAAAGTGTCAGTCACTTTCCTAAGGGATTTACAGGAATTAAATCATTTAAACTTCACAAGAGCCCCATGACATAGGGACAACTTTCAACCCCATTTTTCAGACAAGGAAACTGAGGTCAGTAGGAGATTCGTTGACTCTCAGTGGGCTGATTCATGATTCTAAGGAAACAGTCTGACTGCTGAGCCCAAGTAACCATGCTGTCCTGCTGACCCCCATATTTGTCCACTGGCCACCTATGAGTCACCTCCGGTGGGCTCTGGCCAGCTTCCCTTTCTTCTCCAGGCACAGAGACTGAACTGGAGTCTGCTGCATTTGCCACAGTCCTCATGAGGGCAACTACAGGGAGCTGAGGGGCTTGAAGTTGATAGTGGCAGGAGGCAAATCCCTAGGCAGTAGGGGCAGGTGCCCAGTGAAATCGCACTTTCAAGCCAAAAACAGCCTGAAGCCTGAACCCTGGGCTGCTTGTTCTGGATGAAACCCACAACTCAAAGTGAGAATTTCTGTTCCTGTTTGCCCACTCTTTCCCAATTGGTTCTTTCTGAATAATGCTTTTAAGCCAATTGAATGATGCCCTATGCAGTGCTACCTGTGCCTATAAAAGCCCAAGATTCAGATACACAGAGGGACTCCCCGGCCTTCAGGTTGGGGTAAGAAACCACTCTCGCATCCCCTCTCTGCTGATGGCTGTTTCATCACTCAATAAAGCTATTCTTTACCCTCTTCACCCTACAACTGTCAGTGTAACCTCATTCTTCTTGGACAGGGGACAAGAACTGGGAACCCACTGTGGCCCTCTGCCCACTGAGGGCAGCCACCCCTTATGATGGGAAGTGGCAACAGAGCTGACAGAGCTGTTAATGAGTGGGACTAAAAGAGCTAATTAGCATGCTGTAACACCTCCTTGGGGGCTTCAGAGTTGCAGGCACCACTGCCTGGGCACCACCCTGTATGTACCCCCTCACCTGGACGCCAGGGGGATCCAGCTGCAAGCCCCACACAGAGCCCACTCCTGTGCCGGAGCTTGGAATGGCTGGCTGGGTTGTGCACTTGCTTGCTCAGACACTCCCTCCCATCAGGGGCTGAGCACACAGTTGTGGCGGCCACAGGATCCACGCTGGAGTGCAAGCCAGGCGTGGCCCAATGGGCTGAGTAAATGGGGTGTCTCCTGTGGTGACCCCCACCCTAGTGAGGCCTGGGGTGGGGGGTGGGGAATCACCAGCCTCAGAGGTCTTGGACTGGCAAGTGGCTGAGAAAAATCCTGTGTCAAAGTGACCCATAGTCAGCCAGGTGTGGTGGGTCATGCCTGTAATCCCAGCAATTTGGGAGGCTGAGGTGGGCAGATCATGAGGTCAGGAGTTCAAGACCAGCCTGGCCAAATATGGTGAAACCCCGTCCCTACTAAAAATACAAAAATTAGCTGGGTGTGGTGGCATGCACCTGTAGTTCCAGCTACTCAGGAGGCTGGGGCAGAAGAATCGCTTGAACCTGGGAGGCAGAGATTGCAGTGAGCTGAGATTGTGCCACTGCACTCCAGCCTGGGCAACAGAGCAAGACTCCATCTCAAAAAAAAAAAAAAAAAAAAGGTGACCCATAGGCTGATGGGGTGTTCTTGCTGCAGGTGGGGAAAGGATGGGTTATATCTGCCCTAGAGTCAATGTGTTTGCATCACGGTGTACGAGGTGCACTATCCAGAATGCTGAAGGGTAAAGACCAGCAGTGGCCATGCAGAGTCTATTCATCACCTTTTATTTCATAGTCTGAGAACACAGCCCATGTGGGCCTGAGAGCCTTCGGGTGTTCACTCATCTCCTTCCAATCCCTGCTGGCCCCTTCTCTTCTTCCAACTGCACCCCTGGTAATACTGGCATTACAGAATGAACCGTGATGGGGAGTCTAGCCAAGCCCCTGCTGCCAGTTCCTCCATTCTTCCTGCCACTTCCTAGTGGGGTCTCCTGGATGATGTGAGAGGAGAGCAACTGAGATAGTAAGAGAACTTGACGTTTACACTGGTAAAGAGAAAGCGGGTTGTCAACCTAGGAGAAAGATAAGGGCTGCCATAGGGAAGGGATGAGAGAAGTTCTAACTGGCCCTAAGGGTCACTTAACTCAGTGAAAGCTGTGAAATGTTTTTTCAGTTACTTATTGCTATGTAAGAAATTACCAATGTAGCAGCTTATAGTAATGTGTATTATCTCACATTTTCTGTAGGTTAGAAACCCAGGCATAGCTGTGCTGCTTCCTCTGCATAGAGTTTCTTACAAGGCTTTAATCAGAATATCTGCTATGGCTGGTTTCTATCTGAAGGCTGAACAGGGGAAGGATCCACTTCCAGGCTTAGGTGATTATTGGAAGGATTAAGTTCCTTGACGACTGTTAGACTGACATCCTCAGTCTTAATGCCCTGGTGGCCAGAGGCTGACCTCAGTTCCCTGCCATATGAGCCTTTCTGCTCCATCAAAACTTGCAAGCAAAGAGGGAAGAAGACAGTCATCTAGCAAGACAGAAGTGGGGTCAGAGACCCCAAGAAAAGCGGGTAGCCAGGCCTCTTCCCTGGACAGTGTCTTGCACAGGTTGGACCAACACTGAGGTCATTTTAACCCAGGTCCTGAGTTGGACCAGATGACCTGCAGATGTGTGCTTCGTTTATGAAAGCAAATCCCTGGATACAAAAATCAAACATGTTACTGGAAAGGCTCCTCTTGAGTTCTCTGTGAACCTGGGAGGGCACGCTCTTTTAATATTTCTCCCTGTTACTTTTCAGACCTCCTGCATCTCTAAAGAACCACCATCACTAAATCAACTTTGTAATTCAAAATTATTATTTTGAGACAAGGTCTTACTCTGTTGCCCAGGCTGTAGTGCAGTGGCACAATCAGAGCTTACTGCAGCCACAACCTCCCTGGGCTCAGGCGACCCTCCTGCCCTCAGCCTCCCAAATAGGTGGGACTACAGGTGCACACCACCATGCCCGGCTAATTTTCATAGTTTTTTGTAGAGACAGGGTTTCATCATGTTGCCCTGGCTGGTCTCAAACTCTGGGTTCAAGCAATCAGCATCCCTTGGCCTCCTAAAGTGCTGGGATTACAGGCAGGAGCCACAGTGCCCATCCTCAAAGTTATTTTTGAATATCTATTAGATGCACAAAGTTTAAAAACTTAGTGTAATAAAAATATGTATACAGTGAAAAGTAAATTCCATCCTCTATCCCACCAACAGCTTTTCCAAATTCCCTGCCTGGACACAAGAACGGTTACCAGTTTCTACAGTATTATAGATGGTGGTTTCCCTTTTTTCCCAGATATTTTACCACACTGAATCTGCACCTTTATGTTCACTTAATGATATGTTTTGAGATTATTCAATTTTTAACATCCAAATCTGGTTCTGTTTAAGATACTGATAATGATAGATAAAAAGATAGTGATAATGACAAGATATTGATAATTCTATTGCCCCTGATTTTTTAAAATTTGCAAATTATAGCAAAAATTATCCTTATTCCACACCACTGGTAGCACACCACTGGTGTTTTGCATTGCTATGCAGAAATACCTGAGACTGGGTAATTTATTTTTAAAAGATGTTTATTTGGCTCACAGTTCTGCAGGCTGACACAATGCATGGCACCAGCATCTGTTTCTGTTGAGGGCCTCACAAAGCTCTCAATCAGAGTGGAAGGCAAACAGGGAGCAGATGTGTTACATGGCAATAGAGTGAGCAAAAGAGAGGAGGTGGAGCCAGGCTCTTTTTAACAGTCAAATCTCGCAGTAACTAATAGAGTGAGAACTCACTCATATTCATGAGGAGGGCACCCTCATGACCCAGACACTTCCCACTAGGCCCCACCTCCAACCCTGGGGATCACACATCAACATGAGATTTGGAAGAGACAAATATATAAACTATATCACCAATGGAGTTATCTGGGCACACAGCCGCCCTGATTAAAAGCTGTGTTCTACAGCCTTTCTTGAGGCTAGCGCTAAGTTTTGGCCAATAAGATGAAGCAGATGTGAAATTGTAGGTTTTGCCCTTAAAGGTCCGGGCCTTTTTCTCCTTCCCAGCTTTCCCTGCCCTCCTCAAGGACCATAGACATGGTCTTGGGTGCTCCAAGTCATGCTAATAAGGGCAATACCCTTCTAATTATTATAATAGCAGAGAAGGAAGGCCAAAGGAGCCCTTATGCCTAGACAACTTCATAATGCAGATGCCCTAGTGGCCCTGGACTGTCTGCCTCACTGTCATGGGAGACATACACACTACTTTCCTATTTGACCATCTGGGTTGCTGCTGCACACAACTGAATTAATATCCTATCTAATAAGAATAGAGAGATTAGGGCTTGCGGGGAGTAAGGAGCTGTGATAATCTGTTCTGGAGATGAGCAAAGACATATTGACAGTGTTTGCCACTCGGGGCTCCCTGGGATATTTATTCTGAGTTGAAGTAAGGGAAAGCTGGGGCACAGGGGGCAGCACAGCGAGATTGGAGACTGTTATTTTCCCCATTTTTCTGGCCATGGAGGATTCCCTGGGGGAGTATTTGTACGTACCAGGTGTTAGATTTGTGTCTCTGTTTCTTCACTTCCTTTCCTCTTTACCACCAGATCCCTCATTCATCCCAGCCGAATCAGACTCACTGCCTCTCCTTATCTTCCTCCTTCTGCTGCTGCTATCTGATGACAGATGCAGGGCACTTCTTTAGGAGGTCATGGACTGACACAGTTCTCCTTCATTCTTGCTTGCAGTTCTCAAGAATAACTTTAGAATGTGCTGGAAATGCAGTAAATATCCTGAGATGCACAGGAACTACCTGAAACAGCCCAGACTTTGTTCCTGTCCCTCCTAGGGAATGCAACATTTTGAGTTAGGGAGGAACTGCCTGGGACAGCCTGGGCTTTTGTTCCTCTCTCCTGTGGAAGCAGGAAGTCCTTCAAAGCTTTTTTCAGTGATTCACAATGCCCCTGAGGCATATAACCCTGGTCAGGCTACCTTTTGGGGACCTTCAGCTGTTGTGCAATTAGGGCACATGCAGTTGAGACTCCATCCATCATTGGCAACTTTCTTGAACCTGACGGGACTGGCTCATAGTGCTTCTAGGCTTCTGTTGTCCCTTGCTGCCTATCTGTGTGTAATAAACCTGCTTCATATAGCTGGTTGGGTGTTTGTTCTCTCACGGTACTTGGCAATTGGTAAAACTGCAACCCAGGGTGCAGTGGGTGGAAGCATTCTGACTCCTAATTTTGGTGGTTAATATAAGGATAGTTTTCCCTATCCTCTATACAGTGTGAGTCCTTTCTTGGGATTGGTTACTTCTGAATCTGCATCACAGCAAGGACTGTGGAGGCTGAGGCTGAGAGGAACAACCCCTCAGGTCAAAAAAAGGAATACAGGGCCATTTGCCATCAGTTTCGTGGGGTGTCTATGCTTTCCCAGCCTGGCTTGGACAGTAACCTGACACATTTGACCCCTGATGTCTCCAAAATACATATTCCATCATAATTAGAATACTTACCATATTCTATTTATTATAACCATTGCATTAGGTCCAGCTTATACTCCAAGGCTAAGGATTACATAAGACCACAAATACCAGGAGATGAGGCCCTTTGGGGGCCATCTTTGTGTCTGCCTACCACAAAAGTGACCTTGAGAACAACCTACTGCATAGATTCCCACAGTGCTGTAGGAAGGGATGCAGAGATTATAAGGAGATACAGACCTGAAGTCGAGGATTTGGTGCTGAACCCTAGTAATACAAATCAAAATTATGATCCTAGAAAGGTAGTCCATAATTTCTGGTAATATTGGTTAATAAAGGTGAGGAAATGAAAAGAAGGCCCGCTGTACTAATAGTTAATGTTCTCTGTGATTTTTCTCATGGACCAGAGAATCTGCCAACCTCTTTTTGTTTAATGGTTACGTGGTTTAATTATAATCACACACAGGCTGAACAAACTTGTCCTTCTCCCACAGCATAGATCATCCAGCTGCCCCACTCTCAGGGGAGGAGCACTTAAGTTTGCACAGCCCCACAGACCTCTGCAGCCCAAGCCACTGAGGCACTCAGAGACCTCTCCCATGTTGAATGCAGCTAAATAAACTACACAGAGTTTACATTACTACATCCACCCAGAACAAGGCCAACACATCCTACCCAACTGACACTTCAAACCCATCTCCAGGTGAAACGTTTTCTGCATGAAAGCTACTCTACACAACTGGAAGGAGAGACTGTTCCAGAAGATGCACAGATAACAATGCAAAAACATGAAAAACGAGGAAATATGATAACACTAAAACAATCATTTTTTAGTAGCCAATCCAAAATAAGTGAAAATTTATGAATTCTCTGAAAATAAATTCAAAATAATAATTTTAAGGAAACTCAACTAGATACAGGAGAATACAAATAGACAACTTCAACAAAACCAGAAAAACAATTCATGATCTGAATAAGAAATCCAACAAAGGGTGGATATCATAAAAGAACCAAAGAAGCCTGAGTAATCATGCCTGTACTCCCAACACTTTGGGAGACCAAGGTGGGAGGATAACTAGAGCCAGGAGGTTAAGACCAGCCTGGGCAACATAGAAAAAAGATAAAATGTTAAAGAAAAAAAATCAGATCTTACAGTTAAAGAAGTTCAGTGAATGAGATAAAAAATACAGTCAAGAGCTTTAACAACAGACTAACGTAAGAAAAAGGACTCTCAGGCAGCATTAATAAGAAAATTTATAGCACTAAACGCCCACACCACAAAGTTAGAAAGATCTCAAATGATCAACCTAACATCACAACTAAAAGAACTAGAGAAGCAAGAGTACACCAACCCCAAAGCTAGCAGAAGATAATCAAAATCAGAACTAAACTGGAGACTGAGACATGAAAAAACATTAAAAAGATCCACAAATCCAGGAGTTGTATTTTAAAAAATTAACAAGGTAGGCCACTAGCTACACTAATAAGAAAATATCCAAATAACACAATTAGAAATGACTAAGAAGATATTACCACTGACCCTACAGAAATACAAATAACCATTAGAGACTACTATGAACACGTATCTGTACACAAACTAGAAAATTTAGAAGAGATGGATACATTCCTGGACATATACACCTTCCCAAGACTGAACTAGGAAGAAACTGATTTCCTGAACAGACCAATAATGAGCTCCAAAATAGAATCAGTAACAAATAGCCTACCAACCAAAAAAAAAAAAAAAAAAAAAAAAAAAAAAATTCCCAGCACCAGATAGATTCACAGCCCAATTCTACCAGATGTACAAAGAAGAGCTGGTACCATTCCTACTGGAACTATTCCCAAAAATTGAGGAGGAGGGACTCCTCCCTAATTAATTCCATGAGCGAGCATTATCCTGATACCAAAATCTAGCAGAGACATAACAACAACAACAACAAAAGACAACTTCAGATCAATATCCTTGATGAACATTGATGCAAAAATCTTCAACAAAATACTTGGAAACTGAATCCAGCAACCTATCCAAAAGCTAATCCACCACAATTAAGTAGGCATTATCACAATGCGAGATTGGTTCAGTAGTCCCAAATCAATAAATGTGATTCATAAACAGAACTAAAAGCAAAAACTATATGATTACGTCAATAGATGCAAAAAAGCCTTTCAATAAAATTCAACATCACTTCATGTTAAAAATTCCCCATAAACTAGGTGTTGAAGGAACATAACTCAGAATAATAAGTGCCAACTATAACAAACTCACAGCCAACATCATACTGAATGGGCAAAACTGAATGGGCAAAAGCTACAAGCATTCCCCTTGAAAAGCACAAGATAAGGAAGCCCTTTCTCACCACTCCTATTCAATATAGTGTTGAAAGTCCTGATCACAGCAGTCAGGCAACAAAAATAATAAAAGGCATCCAAATAGGAAGAGAGGAAGTCAAACTATCCTTGTTTGCAGACAACATGATTCTATATCTAGAAAACCCCATAGCCTCAGCCCAAAAGGTCCTTCAGCTGATAAACAATTTCAGCAAAGTTTCAGGAGACAAAATCAATGTACAAAAATCACTAACATTCCTATATACAATAGCCAAGCCAAGAGCCAAATCAGGAGCACAATCCCATTCATAATTGCCACAAAAAGAATAAAATACCTAGAACTACAGCTAACTAAGGAAGTAAAGGATCTCTACAATGAGAATCACAAACACTGCTCAAAGAAATCAGAGATGATGCAAACAAATGGAAAAACTTCCCATGCTGATGGCTAGGAAGAATCAACATCATTAAAGTGGTCATACTACCGAAAGCAGTTTATAGATTCAATGCTATTCCTATCAAACTATCAATTACATTTTTCACAGAACTAGAGAAAACTTTTAAAATTCATATGGAACCAAAGAGCCTGAATAGTCAAGGCAATCCTAAGCAAAAAGAACAAAGGTGGAGGCATCACATTACCTAACTTCAAACTACAAGGCTACTGTGACCAAAACAGCATGGTACTGATACAAAAGCAGACACACAGACCAATGGGACAGAATAGAAAGCCCAGAAATAAGGCAGCAAACCTACAGCCATCCGATCTTCAACAAAGTTGACAAAAACAAGCAATGGGGAAAGGGCTCCCTATTCAATAAATGGTGCTGGGATAACTGGTTGGCCATATGCAGAAGATTGTAACTGGACCCCACCCCTTTCTTTTACCATGTACAAAAATTAACTTAAGATGGTTTAAAGAGTTGAAACCCAAAATTATAAAAATTCTGTAGATAACTTAGGCAATGCCATTCTGGACATAGGATCTGGCAAAGATTTCATGATGAAGACAACAAAAGCAATCGTAACAAAAGCAAATATTGACAAATCAGATTTAAGAGCTTCTCCACAGCAAAAGAAACAATCAACAGGGCAGACAATCTACAGAATGAGAGAAAAGTTTTGCAAACTGCATCTGACAAGGGACTAATATCTAGCATCTATAAAGAATTTAAACACAGTTACAGGAAAAAAAAACCCACTCCATTAAAAAATGGGCAAAGGACATGAACAGATGCTTTTCAAAGAAGACATACATGCAGCCAATTAGCATATAAAAAACTCAATTATCACTGATCATAAGAGAAATGCAAAATCAAAACCATAATGAGACATCATCTCATGCCAGTAAGGATGGCTATGAAAAAGTAAAAAAATAATAGATGCTGGTGAGGTTATGGAGAAAAGGAACACATACCACTGTTGTTAGGAGTGTAAATTAGTTCAAGCACTGTGGAAAGCAGTGTGGCGACTCCTCAAAGAACTAAAAATAGAACTACCATTTGACCTACCAATTCCATTACTGGGTATTTACCTAAAGGAATATAAATCACTCTACCATAAAGACACATGCAAGTGTATGTTCACTGCAGCACTATTAACAATAACAAAGCCAGGCGCAGTGGCTCACCTCACACCTGTAACTCCAGTATTTTCAGAGGCTGAGGCAAGCGGATCACCTGAGGTCAGCAGTTTGAGACCAGCCTGACCAACATGAAGAAACCCTTTCCCTACTAAAAATACAAAATTAGCCAGGCATGGTGGTGCATGCCTGTAATCCCAGCTACCTGGGAGACCGAGGTAGGAGAAGTGCTTGAACCTGGGAGGTGGAGGTTGTGGTGAGCCAAGATCATGCCATTGCACTCCAGCCTGGCAAAGGAGTGAGACTCCATCTCAAAAAAAAAAAAAAAGAAAAGAAAAGAAAAGAAAAGAAAATACACAGTCAAATAAAGAAAAGGGAAAAATACACATTCAGCAGAGACAAAAAAAATAAAAAAACAATGATGCATACCTATAGGATCTAGAAAACAGCTTCTTAAGGGCAAATCTAGGAGTTATTGGCCTTAAAGAGGAGATAGAGAAAGAGATAGGAATAGAAAGTTTATTGAAAGGGATAATAACACAGAACTTCCTAAATCTAGAGAAAGATATCTATATCCAAGTACAAGAAAGTTACAGAACACCAGGTCAATTTAACCCAAAGATTACCTCAAGACATTTAATAATCAAACTCCCAAAGGTCAAGGGTAAAGAAAGGATCCTAAAAGCAGCAAGAGAAAAGAAACAGATAACATACAATGGAGCTCCAGTACATCTGGCAGCATATTTTTCAGTGGAAACCTTACAAACTAGGAGAAAGTGACATGACATATGTTAAAGTGCTGAAGGGAAAAAACCTTTTACCCTACAGTAGTATATCCAGCAAAAATATCCTTCAAACATGAAGAATAAATAAAGACTTTCCCGGACAAACTAAAGCTGAGGGATTTCATCAACACTGGACTGGTCCCATAAGAAATGCTTAAGATAGTACTTTGGTCAGAAAGAAAAGGATATTAATGAGCAACAAGAAATCATCTAAAGGTACAAAACTCATTGTTAAGAGTAAGTACACAGAAAAACCCAAAGTATGATAACATTATAACTGTGGTGTGTAAGTAGAAAGAATAAATAATAAACCAATCAAAAATAATAACTACAACAACTTTTCAAGACATAGTAAAATCAGATAAAATTAGAAACAACAAAAAGTTAAAAAGTGGGGGGGGGATGAAGTTAAGATGTAGAGTTTTTATTAGTTTTCTTTTTGTTTGTTAATGCAAACAATGTTATCATGTTAAAATAATGGGTTATAGAGTAGCATTTGTAATCTTCATGGTAACCTCAAAGCGAAAAAACATACACTGGATACTTAAAAAATAAAAAGCAAAACCCAAATCATATCACCAGAGAAAATTACTTTCCCTAAAGAAAGACAGGAAGAAAAGAAGAAGACCACACAATAACCAGAAAATAAATAAATAACAAGGCAGGAGTAAGTCTTTACTTATCAATAACACATTGAATGGAAATGGACTAAACTCTCCAATCAAAAGACGTAGACTGACTGAATGAATCAAAAAAACAAGACCCATCAATCTGTTGCCTACAAGAAACACACTTCACCTATAAAGACACATATAGACTGAAAGTAAAGGGTTGGAAAAAGATATTCCATGCCAATGGAAACCAGAAAAAAAGAGAAGGAGTAATGATTTTGATAGAAAAACATAAGAAGAGACAAAGTCACTATACAATGATAAAGGGGTTAATATGGTTTCCATTTCTGTGTCCCCACCCAAAGTTCATGTTCCATTGTAATCCTCAGTGTTGGAGGTGGGGCCTGCTGGGAGATGATTGGATCATGAGGATGGATCCTTCATGAATAATTCAGCACCATCCTCTTAGTTCTGTTCTCATGATAGTGAGTTCTTCTGAAATCTGGTTGCTTAAAAGTGTGTAGCACCTCCCC